GGGTGTATTTAAGGGTAGTTTGGGAAGATAGTGGGGTTTTCTTAGAAATTGTGAAAATTTAAATTAAAAGTTGAGGTGAACTTAGAACATGAGGTGAACTAAGAGAAGTGTGGGGTTTAAATAGAAAATCTCTTGAAAAAACCCACCTCCAATCATGCTTCCTATCCAGCTCCTAAAATAGGGAGACCTCTAGGAGCTCCTAAAACTGAGGAGAGAGAAAATGCTCCTAGTGACTCCCTATAATTAAATGCTACCATATTTTATTATTATTTTAAACATTTATTAATGATATCTTTAATTTTATCAATTTTTTTTTCTTTCTGCATTTTATATTTGTAATCACTTTCTATTACAAGCTACCTACACCGTTTGTTCTATTATTTCTGCCGTGGCTGTAGGTGCTTTGCAAAGCACAAACAAACAAATTTTTTTTTTTTTCGATTCTTTTCACTGTAGACATTTTGCAGCACACGAACACCTTCTTTTTTCTTTTTTAAGTTCCTTTCCCTGTAGGTATTTTGCAAACCACAACAACCACAGAATATCAAAATTGAACAACAAATAAACTTACAATATCATTGTAGTTTATTATTTTGGAATATTTAGTATTTGAATATGAATATTTTATTGCAAATCAGGAATTAAATTTAAAAAGAAGTAAAACAGTTTATGACCCTCCAAATTAAGGAGTATGGTTGGAGTTGGAATTTTTTAGAGAGCTCCTATAATAGCTTTTTTGTGTTTCTAGCTAAATTTTAGCTAAGAAATAGGGAGTGTGATTGTGGATGCTCTTATTAACTAAATAACGGTTTTATAAGCTATACTATGTTTTTAAAAAAAATTGGATATTTGTGGAACAATTATTATTCATAAAATGTAAAGCATATTCATGCAACTCCATATCGTTTGATAAATAGGGTTGTAAAGCCGTGCGGCTATACTATGTTTTTTTTAAAAATTAAAAAAGGAGTCTAGCCGAACGGCTGTACTATCAACGTCACAGCGCCTAGGGTAAAATAGTATCGCCGCGCGGCTATACCTTTTTAAAAAAATAAAAAACTGCGTATAGTTGTGCGGCTATACTATTTTAAAAAAATATAAAACACGGCGTATAGCCGTGCGGCTGTAGTATTTTTAAAATAAGAAAGGACCCTCTAGCGATTAGGTGCCACGTGTCAAAAAAATATGTATAGCCGCCCGGCTATACCGTTGAAGTACATTATATTTAAAACTTCTATACTATTTAAGTAAAAAATTAAGAAAAAAGGACCCTCCTAATTGCATTAGTTTGTACTTTATAAATATTAATTTGTTAGTTTCAACATATCCAAAGTAAATATCAATCGGCCACTATATAATATGTTAATATAATTTTTATAACATATATTATTCTTATTTAATAATATGTAATAATTATTTGTATAATATGCGAATTTTGTGTGTTTTACAGAAAATTTTGTAAAAAAATATGCGTATTAAGCATTAGAAATACTTTCGTACATGTACAATACAACTATTGTAAGTTTGCTTTTTAAAAAAACGGGAGACGTGTATAGAACACAAATGTATTATTCAAAAATACATACGCACATATATATATAAGACTATAGCCGCTGGTCTATACTATTTATCGAAGACAATTAAAAAAAACTAGTACAGCAGCGTGGCTATACGATTTTTAAAAAGAACATTTAAAAAGTGAATATAGCCGCACGGCTATACCATTTACTATTTAAAAAAAAGAGATAGCTCCTAGGCGCTCACGTGTAAAATCGTAAAGCCGTGCGGCTGTACTAGTTTTTAATATAAAAAAGAGAACCCCCCTTGATTAGGCACCACTTGTCAAAACAAGTATACTTAAAAAAAAAAAACAAATAAAGAGGATAGCCGTGTGGCTGTACTATTTGTTGCTCTAACCTAATTTAAGATATATTGTTAATGGGGTCTAGTCCCATGGGAAATGGTTTAGACTTGCAGATAAGTAATCTTATGTTTGAATTCTATGACACATTGATAGTGTGTGTTTGAGAAACCCTCTCTTCTTATAATTTAGACTATTACTCGTATTATAAATAAATAAATAAAGTTGCAAAACATATTTATATATCCCTATTTCTTGACAAAGCATTCCAATCTAATATACAAAATGTATTCAAACAACCCCATATATTTTGTCAAAGTTTTTTTCTAAGTTCATACATAATATAGAGGGAGATGGATCAAACTCAGGTGCAAGATGGCGAACACACTAATACACTATCTTGACCAATTAGCATAATTCATATTTAAATACAATCCTATGTCACTAAAATATAAAAATACAATAACAAGAATCAAAGCGTAATGGAAGTTGGTGAAGGTAGGTGGAGGCGATGAAGGTTGATAGAAGTTGATAGACTCTACAAAACTAATGGAGACAATTAAGGCCAATTAACAGCTATGCTTAATGTATAATTACCCGTCCCAAAATAAAAAGAAATCTTGTATCCTTTTTTCATGAATCATGATATGATTGGTTATTGATATATACTGATATTTGTAACGTTAATTATCAGTCGTCTGGGTGGTGTAGTTGGTTATCACGTTAGTCTCACACACTAAAGGTCCCCGGTTCGAACCCGGGCTCAGACACTTTTTTAAAATTTATTTTTATTTTTTATTTTTTATTTTTTTTCCAGTTGATTACTGATGGGCCCGAAATTGGAGCAGGCTCATGTGAAACCCCCCAAAAAGCTCATGTGATACCCATCACCCAGTCACGTGCAACAGTTGGAAAGCAAAAGTAAACGCGCGCGCACAAACGACGAATTAAGAGGCGCGTGGCGGTACAGCTGGCGAACTTATACCGGTCAGTCTCTCGTTCTCTGTGTTCCTTCCAATTTACGAAAAGCAACGTCTAGGGCTCGTCTCTGCGTCAGTTTCAGAGCTCTCCAGAGACCTCGAGCCCGTAATCTCAATCCAAGTCTCTGCCCTCCGACTCTCCGAGCTACAAAGCAGAGCTTCTCTCTCGCTTCCTTTGTGTTAGGGTTTTCTTCTCAATGGACGAGTCCTACACTGGCCTCCCTACCAGCCATTTACTCGGCTCAGTCCCTGTAAGTTCTGATTGATTTTATTTTTGTTTCATTTTATATAATTCGCGTGCACAAATTCACGAATCTTCAAATCGACCTTGTTTGCTTGGAAAAGGTGAATTAACTTTATCTAGATTCTCTTTGCTTTATTGTTATTGTAAATTGTAAGCTACCTTGTCGTTCTGTTTGTTTCCTGCGAAAATGAGGGAAACTAAAGGAGAGGAAAGAAAATTTGTAGTCCTAGATGATCAATAGCTTAGATACATTGTCGGTATAATTTTTCTTCTCCTTGAAAATTTTACCCCTTTTTCTGAGCTGTCGTGTGTAGCTTACAATTAGTTATAGTTTAAATTAAGCTACCTATAGAAAATGTAATTACATTCTGTTCGGAAATTTCTTAGTAACTCTTCTTTTTCAGACAGATTTTAATTAATGCACCGCCCTTTCTCTTTTTGGATCATATCCTTTTGAGCTGACTTCTTTAATAATGAAAGAGTAGCTTCTTTTACGAACTTGCTTCCGATGTGCTTATACTAGGCCACTCAAAGTAGTTGTAGTCCTTTTTGTTGTTGTTGTTGTTTCCCTTTTCTGATATTGAATAAATTACACATTCTTTGGTTTACCTTTTTATTTTTTATTTTTCTCATTTCGATAGGCTGTCGTAAGTGAAGATAAAGATAAGAATACCACAAGCTATGAAGGTATGAGACTTGCCCGCTCTTTTGTAAATTGTTTCCTAGTTTCTAATTTATCTCAATACTTTATTCTTCACATTTAAAGGTTCACCTCAATCATTTTTTCCCCCTACTTTGAAGAATTTTCTCTGAATTCATGCAGCACCTGAAGCTAACTTGCAAATCTTCCCCCCAAATAATGGAGGAGAGAAAGGGCGTGGTTATCAAACTGTTGGAAGTACAAGTGGTATGACATTCAAATTTATTATTTACATTCAAGTGTTTTATATATGGGTTTTATCTCTTAAGAATACAGAGTAGAACTTAGTTGCCCAATCATCCTCATTTTTTTCTGGAGAATTTAGTATTTTGGGTGCTTTTTAGGTACACTAAAACAACTTTGTAACAGACTAAGAGTGTTAAATTTGGTTGCCATAAAAGGATGAAACTAAAATTAATCAGTAGCGGAACAAAATTTGGAGACATTTTCAACTTTCTATACTGCACGTTGTTCTTGGGGAGTTCCGAAATATTTGACCTGTAGTTTTTCTTCATTGCAGATTGAAGTTTTAGGAGTGTCCTTGTGACTGTGTATGAGTTTTCATTTAAGATATTAAAGTTCTTATGCTTTCTTGTGACTGCTATGTTATCTTCCCCAAATTATGTAGATGGGGCTTTAGAAATGAAAGACAAAAATGTATATAACTCTGAAGAAATACATATATTTGATACATTTTCTTGTGTTCATCACCTTACTATTCTCTCTATCTAGCAATTTGATGACACAGAGTGGTTTTCGATTGCAAATTTGCAGTTTACCATATCAAATAGAATTTTTTGGAGTTTGTACTCTTGAACTTGACTTCCTTGTTTTATATCTGGTGCATACGTTTGAAAGACATTGTCATCTTTCATGAGAGTGTAATACTTTCACTTTATTTTGAATTGAGTGGCAGTAGGAGTGTGGTTTACTGATGTAATGGTTTTGATTTTGACCATATCTACGTCATACGTGCATACTTAATCTATTGCTTGTTTGGGCCATCAAATCAAATTTTGAAAGGATTTCTGGTGGATTTTCTCCTCTCTTTTTTTCTTTTTCTTTCTATGTATATTTAACCTGCCTTTAAAAAACGTAACTATTTTTCCCTCTTAACTCTGTACCGTTGCATATTGATTTCATTTGCAATGCCTGCCACTTTTTCTATTGTTTTAATGACCTCTCGTTCTGTCTATCCATGCAGAAACATTTGAACAACAACCGGCGAACAACTGGAGAGGAGTATTTAATATCTCATCATACACACAATACTTCAATGTGGATACGGATGTTGTCTTAAACAGATTGCTTAGTTCTTTATATCCCCATGGTGGAGATTTTTTCAGCAAAATTGATGCCAACCCTGATTTGTGAGTTTCTGATCTTTGGTTTCTCGTATATTATATACGCACTTTCACTACTAATTAAGAAAGACAGAATCATGAGCCTCAGTATCTTCAATTTACACGCTGTCTTTCTATAAGACCGTCACATGTAATTCATCATGGTTAAAATCGGATCATTGGATTTTGAGTTATAAGTTTGCATTGTCTCATCTGTAAGCAGTATGTTAATCAGAAGGAGGAAATGTAGCTACATGTAAAAAAGGTGGAGTAGCTAATCATATTGCAGTATTTTTTTTTAATTGATACAGCAGTGAGTTAACATGAGCATATAATATTTGGCTTTTTTTGTGTGAATTTTTGTAATGTGTCAGATATGGGCTAATCTGGATCTCCACTACGTTAGTGTTTGTGCTTGCTGCACTTGGAAACTGTGCCACCTACCTCATGGAAAAGCACAGTGATAGCAGTACTTCTTGGGCCTTTAATGTCAGTTATATGAATTTGGCAGCTTTTTCAGTCTACGGTTATGCAATTTTGGTGCCATTGGCATTTTATTTCTTGCTCCACTATCTGGGCTCAAATGCCAGCCTTGTTCGATTTTGGTGTATGTGGGGATACTCTCTCTTCATATTTGTTTTAGCCTCTGTAAGTACATGCCTTCTCTGCTTTGGTGTCAGTTTTGTCTTTTGTTTTTCCCCTTTTTTGACTCTCCAATTCAATGTTATTAAACCATTGGAAGGACAATGGCAGAAATAAGTAAATTTTTTTGACCAAAAGAAAGAAAAAGAGAGAAGGTAAAATCTTCTTATGCAGAGGTGCTTAATCGGAACCCAAGTTCTGTTTAAGCTCAGATTAGAAGCACAATAAAATTCTGTTTGAGCTAAAATATTTTAACTTCCTGGTCTTGGGGGTAAACAAGATTGACGAACAATTCATCAAGGGCATTTCTTGCTTCCAGGTCACCTTTATGTATTTTGATTGCCAACACAAATATTGTCTTACCCAAAGGGGAGAAATCCTATTCCTGGGTGAAAGTTATTAATTTATAACTTATAATATGTTATTCTTGTAATCATCTGATACTTATTTCCCTGGACTATTCAGTTTTTGTTGCTTATCCCGGTTGAGGCTTTCCGGTGGATCATTATAATTCTTGCTGGTGCTGCCTCCTCGTGCTTTGTTGCCTTCAATCTCAAGACTTATATCGAAGGGAATGATATTGTGGTGATTGCCGCATTTCTCTTGCAACTGGCTCTGGCAATCTTCTTTAAGGTCTACTTCTTTCCGTGAGCGTTTCTAAGTGCAGTCAGTCTCTGAATTCTGAATTTCAAACAACCACATTCACTTGATTTCGAGGGTATTTGATTTAGGCATTGACTGGAATGGCACTTCCCTAGAGGTGGTGTGTGTTCAAATTACTCACTTGGTTGTATTGTAAGTTCATTGAAGAGCTCGTGACATGGCGTGGTTTAAATTTTTTGAAGAGATAAAAGTGTGGCTCTAATGAGTAGGACTTAGTTTGTATCAGCTGGTTTTGTATTGGCTCAAGTAGAGAGAGCATATATTGGTATTTGTATTTCACGCTTTTTCTCAATCTTAGAATTTTTCTCCATCAAACCTGAGTCTGTAAATAAATAAGGTCTTCAGAGAAATTGTTGTGGTAATTTTCACATCAAGTTGATTTCTTATCTACTCTTAACAGGATGAATTTTTTTTAGCTATCAAGAAAACTGGTTCCTCCTTGAAAAGAACAAGGGGCAAATAGGAAAATACCTTCCTCATTCCCCTATAAGTAGGAATTCCTACATTCCTATCAATGGTAGTTTGAACATGTATGATTTGCAGGGAGGAGGATCTCCTTCCGTGAAAGGAAGCAAGCAATATCCGGGCTTATATCCTTAGCGCTCGCAGCAGGATAAAGTTGTGGTAAAGTAGAATTCGTATAAGTCTGAAGGTTGGTGGGACTTCATTGTCTTCAAACTTTAAAGACGCGCCCCAATCTAACGTGTGTAATTTTATGGCCTGCTGTACAAAGCAACAAAACTTACGAGCTTGACCCCTTCTTGGTTGAAGCAGACAGGAGATAGGATCAAAACCTTAGCAGCCCAATTCTTTTCCGACTTGTGGAAATTTAAAACAGATATGCAGATGCAGCAATTGTTTTATTGTCCTTATCGGGTAGATTTGGTGAGGAAAATAGTATTCTTCCCCTCGACTTTTATATGTCGATGATAATAGCATGATTGTTTTGAAGTGATCTGTCACAAACTTTCGACACAAAATATCAGTGGGATGCGGAAAATGGACGATTTTAGAAAAAGGCAACTTAATCAGGCTTTGATTAGTACACATGGTTCGTTTGATTGCGTTCCGTTACGAACCAGAACTCCATATTGTTTAGTGGAGACAAGTTTTCGTGGAAGAAAACGAACCCTTTCCGTGAATTTGTTTTGGTCAAGTATAAAACGCTTTCAATCTGTGTTTTTTTTTGGTTAGTGAAATCGTGGAAAATGTTTGTGTGGGTAAAGAAAGCACTTTCCCTTGTGCAGATGTCCGAATTTAGTCAAATAAATCTCTCCTAGTTGTCAACTTTTCTGAGGCTCTATCAGATAAAAGATGGGTGAAAAAAAAAGGAATATTCATACAGAGTTGGTTTGAACTTTGATTCAATATGAGACCCAATACAGATTTGTAATATTTATACAAATAATATGGGAAAGGTATTAGTTTTTGTGAAAAGTTTATAATGAGGGGCTCCAATCCCACCATCATCAACAAATGCGAAAAAATCATTGATATTTTATGATAAATAAGCTATAGTGACCAACGAGGTCTAATCTAGTGAAAAAGAGTCTTAACTTGCAGATTAGATGTTTCGGGTTTGAATCCCTACAACATCATAGTTGTGTGTGTGAGTGAAAAATCCTCATCTCTTATAGTTTAGACTACTGCTTCTACTACATATAAAAAATAATATGTCAAACATTTATTATATGATTTTTGGGACATCCAAGCCCTAATTATTGGAAGTTAAATGCTGAAATGGATCCAAATCTTATTATTTATACAATTTCACTTGTTTGTAACTTTTGTTTCGTCATAACAAAAAAAAATTTGAAATGCTGGTCATTCGGCTAGAATATGCTAAAATGATTAAGATGAAGTAATTCAATAGGAGTTTCTAAACGTTGAAATTCATATATTGACACGTAATGAATTAAATATGGACATACAATTTTAGAAGAAAAAGAAACTTATATGCTTTGAATTAGAACAAAATTATTCCAATTAAAAATATTAACCCCTTGATTGATCAAATGTGGATTGTTAATTATTACGGGGTGCTGCATGATTGACCTAATCATTTTAGCGGTTGCGCTGGCCAGCAAAACCGAGAACGTCTCTGAATCGGACCAGACCAACCTGCATGACATGGATCTATCACCGTGAATTTCTTTTGTCGTTCTCGACATATCTTTGTCGTGTTTTCCACTACACATGTTCGCCTCTGCGCGCGTCATACGGCCGTTCCTTAACAGGGCCTCCCCAACCCTATAACCCATCACCACCAACATTAAACTGACACGTAGCGTTTTCCTCATCCAAGTTTACCATATTACCCTTACCCACCGGCCCACGACATCGTCTCATTGGCGGCAAGCGAACTGAAAGTGGCTGAGGTTGACTATTTGACTTTGCCTCGGACTCTACTGCACTGTGGTGGTACCAGTATAAATATCTTTAACCAAGAAGCGACGTCTGCATCTCCAAACACTCTTATCACATAGAAAAAGGAAAACAGACACCGCGCGCTTCCGAGTCGCCTCGTTCTCAGAAGTGAGTTTGACTCGCCCCGGACCTGTCTGTTGTCATTTCAGCCATGGACGAAGTGGATCGTTCTCGAGCTTTTCTCAAAGACGTTAAGCGCATCGTTCTCAAGGTTTATATATATAATCATTCTCTAACTCCTTCATTTCTCAAATTATTTTTGTCATTTTTCGAAAAAATTGTTAATTTCCATTTATAATTAAGTTATACAGCTCAAAATGAGCTCATATTTAGCAAAGCTGAAGTCTTTTTGCTAGCATCTTTTGTGATTTTAGACATTAAATTTTTGTTGATGTTGAGCTTTGATTGCTGAAGGTTGGGACTGCGGTTGTGACTCGAAACGATGGAAGAATTGCGCTGGGAAGACTAGGCGCGCTGTGTGAGCAGGTATGGCGGAATAGTTTTATATGTATGCAGCAAAAATAGACTTGTTTTAGTTTTTTCGTTTTATTGATTTTTCATATAATTGAGCATGTGTTGGGTCTGAAAATGTTAATTGGCATGAAATGCAGCTCAAGGAGTTGAACTCTCAAGGATATGAGGTGATATTGGTGTCATCAGGAGCGGTGGGCCTCGGTCGTCAGAGGCTTAGATACAGGAAATTAGTGAACAGCAGGTTAGTATTGTGTCCCCGATTATGGACATTGCTGCCATTTTTGGAGAAATTTTTTTGACAGAGTTGAATTTATGAAATTTAAGAAATTTTTCCGAAGATGCTATTATGTCAAAAGAAAAACTTGGGTTATAGATTGATGATTATTGGTTTTTTGCAGTTTTGCTGACCTGCAAAAACCGCAAGTGGAACTTGATGGGAAGGCATGTGCAGCTGTTGGACAAAACTGTCTGATGGCTCTCTATGATACGTTGTTTAGTCAGGTGAACGCAGTGCTCATCTGTTAAATCTGTTCTCAAGCCCTGATTTGGACTTGATTGTTTAATTATTTGACTTCTTATGAGCACAGCTGGATCAAAAGATATATGTGATTTCAAGTTATTGCCCTATTCAGTTTTCTTAGACTTGTTTGTTCTCTCTTGCAGTTGGATGTCTCATCAGCTCAGCTTCTTGTAACAGATAGTGATTTTAGGGATAGAGATTTTAGAAAGCAGCTTAGTGACACCGTGAAATCATTGTTATCTCTTAAGGTTATTCCTATATTTAATGAAAACGATGCAGTCAGCACCAGGCGAGCTCCATATGAGGTATAAATTATAGTACTCTTCTCTGGCTTCCGTGTTTGTCACTTCATTGTGGGAATGATAAACACGAGCGTCCTATTATTTATCTCTAGTTGAAATGGGGAAACAGGAGGTGTGGCATTATTAGGTATTTATTTTTGGATCAATAAGGCCATATCAGAATTTAAAATATTGACAAGACAATGAAGGTCGTAGACTTCTATTTTATGCATATGGACAAAAGAGAACGGGAGAATAACAAATTTATTACGAAGAAGGAAAAATATGTATATTGGGACTACTTAGGAACGCAATATGTTTCCTATACTTTCTGATGCTTATTTTCCTTTTCTAAACAGTAAGGAACTTAAAATGTTTTTATACATTATGTAGTCCCCTCATTCCACAATACATGTGACCGCCTGTGCAGGATTCTTCTGGAATATTTTGGGATAATGACAGTTTGGCAGCTCTACTGGCTTTGGAGCTAAAAGCTGATCTTCTTGTTCTTTTGAGTGATGTGGACGGTTTATACAGTGGGCCTCCAAGTGACCCACGTTCGAAGATTATCCATACGTACATAAAGGAGAAGCATCAAAGTGAAATTACTTTTGGAGACAAATCTAGAGTGGGAAGAGGGGGCATGACTGCTAAAGTAAAAGCTGCTGTCAATGCAGCTTATGCTGGCATCCCTGTTGTTATCACCAGGTGTGTTTCAATACTTGGTTGTGTCATCAGGAGTGATATACTATCCTATCATGTTTAATAAAATCCGCACTAAGTTTAAAAGAAAATTCAGTATCCAACTTGTGTACAATAATGGGGCGAGATGGTTTATAAAAAAAATATAATGGTAGTATTAGCTTCTGGTTAGTGAAAATTAATTGCGGGGTAAGGAAAGTGTGGCCCGTTTTCTTCTTAGAAGTTAGTGTCCCAAATATTCCAAATTTGTAAATCACATAGTAGTAGATTTGTAGTTCTTGATTTTACTCTTCGTTGCATTCTGAGTCCAACATGCTGCCCCTAATTGTGTACTAATCTCTTTGCTGCGCCATTTTCAAGTGGGTATGCTCCTGGAAACCTCAGTAAAGTCCTTGAAGGACAACGTGTTGGTACCCTCTTCCATCAAGATGCACATTTTTGGTCTCCAGTTAAAGAAGTTGATGCAAGAGGGATGGCACTTGCGGCCAGGGAAAGTTCAAGAAGGCTTCAGGTATGTTTGTTTGCATCATGTACAAAGTTTAATTTTGGCTGCGACTAAAACTACTTCTGCAGTTGTAGGCACTCTCTGTCCCCATAACTTTTTAGCAGCATAAGTAACTTGGTAACACTTTCTACAGGCCATGACTTCTGAAGAAAGGAAAAGAGTTCTTCTGGATGTAGCTGATGCCCTTGAAGCAAATGTAAGGTTGATCAATGTTGAAAATGAAGCTGATGTTTCTGCCGCACAAGAAGCGGGATATGAAAAATCCTTGATATCTCGGCTGGCTCTAAAGCCTGGGAAGGCAAGGGATCCAAATTTGGCTATGTTAGATAAATTTTAGTTACATTCATTTTCTATTATTATTACTTCTTACTATCATTTGGTTTCTGTTTGATTATGTTTTGTACAATGTTCTCACTGGACCCCGTGCGTCCCCTTCAAACTTTTTTTCTGAATTCTGCTTGTTATACTTTTCAGA